ACAATAACATTCTTCTCCCCCCTTGAATCAGCATCTAAGTGGAACACTAACGCCGTAAGTACAGACTTACTACGCGAGCTAAGGCGGGGTGAGCAATAATTTCTGATGGGGGGGCACTCCAAGATTTTGGAAAGTGGTCGAGGGCTGCACTCTTCTACCATATTAATGGAGAAGGTGCAGGGTCTGAGAGGGAGGTTGGGACAATAACATTCTTCTCCCCCCTTGAATCAGCATCTAAGTGGAACACTAACGCCGTAAGTACAGACTTACTACGCGAGCTAAGGCGGGGTGAGCAATAATTTCTGATGGGGGGGCACTCCAAGATTTTGGAAAGTGGTCGAGGGCTGCACTCTTCTACCATATTAATGGAGAAGGTGCAGGGTCTGAGAGGGAGGTTGGGTGAAGAAGGGAGCTTGGGGTAAGGGATTGGGGTGCAGGAGGGAGAGTGGGGTCTGGGAGGGAGTTTGGGTGAAGGAGGCAATTATGACCTGGGGCACTGGACTGGGGTGCAGGGGTTTGAGTGGTCACCTAGGGCAGGAAAGGGTTGTGACCTGGGGTGCAGGAGTTTGGGATGTGACCTAGGGCAGGAGACTGGGGTGTCAGATCTGGGAGGAGATATGGGGGGCAGAAGGTTTGGGTATGCGGAGAAGGGGGGCAGGAGTGGTAGGCAGAGAGTTGGGGAAGGGAGAGGCTGAGGTGCTAGGTTAAGGCCAGGAGACTTACCTGGGTGATTCCCAGGCAGAAGCCCAGCATGTTTCTCAGGCAGGCAGCCTGCCCTGACCCCCCGCACAGGCTGCAGGACCGTGTGTGTGTGTGAATAACTACAAGCTGGAGGGGAGGGGGCATGGTTCTTCATGTGCTGCCTGTTATTCAACCAGGCAGCTCCCATTGGCCAGTTTCTGGCATGTGGGTGGGGCAAGGCAAGCAGGGAGTCTGCCAAGGGCACCCTGCAGTGTCCGAAAGCTGGAGTGGCTTGGTGAGCTGGATCTGGCCCACAAGCCATATTTTGCCCAAACCTGAGCTAAGGACTGACTACTTTAACAACACAAGATTACAGTAAATCCTCAAAGATATGAACACCAGAATTATGGATTAACAGGTCAACCAGACACCATGTGAAACCAATAAGGCAGCAGCAGAGCCTCCCCGCCTTCCCCCACTCTCTGCAAAAGCAAACACTGTACTATAGAGTACCTATATTGCATCTTAAAGGTAGGCACTAGGCTGCCTGTCCCATCCCCCCCACCTCCCTTACATGGGACAACCAGTTACATCTAGGAGGTGAAGACACTTCAGCTGACAGCCCAAGAGAGCCAGAGCAGGAACCGTGCTGGGATCAGAGCCACTTTCTCCCCTTCTCCAAGTGGGAAGGTGACACCTTGTTTTTACCCCTCCTCCAGCCAGGAGGGGGATTCTTTCCACTCACCCACCCACCCACACCTCAGCCTGCAGGCAGG